TACACGGCGCAAAGTGGAGCGAGAACGCACCATGCTCAGCAGCATCAATGATGTCAAGGTGTCTCGCGTCATCAAGGGCGCCGAAGGCCAAGATGCTGTCAAGGTGTACGAGAAGAATGGAATCGAAAATGGCACGAGGATGAAGGGAAAAAATACTCGGCCCCCCGCCGAGGAACAGCCTGCCGCACAGAGGCGTCCAGAAGAATTCGTCGAAATGGGCGGCAAGGGCGACCAGACACTCTATTCTGAAGAGGATGACGGGTCTCGCTATGCAACAGACCAGAGTCTTGCATCCGCGCAGAGCAAGAGGGGCATGACATGACAAGTCGGGACAGGTGAGGGGGACAAAATGTGGGATTTTTGATATTTTCTAAGCGGAGCGTTTGGCGTCGAGGGCAGCCGGATTACCATGGGCGCAACGGGACAGTTATAAACGTATAGCACACACCTGAGCCCAGAAATTCGCTTCTTCAGCGACCAGGGCAACAATACGAATCATAGCCTCGTTTGAAAGAAGCAAAAAGGCGTAATATAACAATGGCTTCTCTCGATTCGTTGAAAACGGGCATGGGGTGATGTGAGGTGAGTCGGTAGTGAGTGAGTACTTGTAATGCATGGCCTGGCAGTGGTGCCACCAAGTGCCTCTCCTGAATCCTGGACGACGGATCCGCTTAGCGACCCTGCCAAGACCAGCAGAGTCCACTCGCAGACGGCCCTGTACGGTAGGCCGATTTGACCGTATGATTAGACCCACCGGCCCCTGCGCCCCTAGGCCCTTGGACGTGCTACTGGGAAATTTATTGAGGCGCGCGTTGCCGTTGATTGTCAACTGTCAACCGGCAACATTGCCCTTCTCACCTACCTCTGCCACTCTTCTTTTTCGTTGCTGGTTCTTGTCGCCGCGTCATACAATGGGTCTCCTGGCTGATGTCACCGGCCCTCTGGCCAACTTTACATCCCAGTCGTCCACGCCTGTCGTCGCTTCTGCCGCCTTCGCCTCCTTTATCCTGCTCTCCGTCGTCCTCAATGTACTGAAGCAGTTGCTGTTCAAGAAGGCGAATGAGCCGCCCATGGTCTTCCATTGGCTGCCTATAATTGGTAGTACAGTCACATATGGCATGGATCCGTATGCCTTCTTCTTCGCGAATCACAAGAAGGTGCCTAAGACACATTGCAATAGCCGACCAAGACTGACTGAAAGTAGTATGGCAATGTCTTTACATTTATTCTTCTCGGCCGCAAGATGACTGTGTGTCTGGACACGGCGGGCAACAACTTCATCCTAAATGGAAAGATCAAGGACGTCAACGCCGAGGAGATTTACTCTCCCCTCACCACACCCGTCTTCGGCAAGGACGTCGTGTATGATTGTCCAAACTCGAAACTCATGGAGCAGAAAAAGGTTCCGTCCGACCACCGCCAAGTGCGTTGCAAATACTGACAAGATACAGTTTGTCAAGTACGGTCTCACGCAGGAGGCCCTCCGTTCCTACGTCACCCTCATCACACAAGAATGCGAAGACTTTATGAAGCGCCACAAGGCTTTCAAGGGAGAAAAGGGCACTTTTGACGTGACCAAGGTCATGGCTGAGCTCACCATCTACACCGCCTCTCGTTCGCTCCAGGGCGAGGAAATCCGCAAGTCTTTCGATTCAAAGTTTGCCGAACTGTACCACGACCTCGATATGGGCTTTTCGCCTATAAACTTTATGCTCTCATGGGCCCCGCTTCCTCACAACCGCGCACGCGACAATGCACGCGAGACCATGATAAAGCTATACTCGGATCTGGTTCGCAAGCGCAGGTCGGGCGCCGTGAAGAAGGACTCGCACGACATGATTTGGCACCTGATGGACTGCAAGTACAAGGACGGCACCCAGGTGCCCGAACACGAGATTGCTGGCATCATGATTGCCCTGCTCATGGCCGGACAGCATTCGTCTTCCTCAACCATCGCATGGATCCTTCTCCGCCTCGCGCAGAACCCGCACGTTATTGAGGAATTACTTGCCGAGCAAAAGTCCATCCTAGGCAAAAACCTCCCCGCCCTAACCTACGACGACCTCCAGAAGCTTCCCCTCCATGCCCAGGTTGTCAAGGAAACCCTCCGTATCCACGCCCCCATTCACTCCATCATGCGCAAGGTCAAGCAACCTCTTGTTGTCGATGGAACAAACTACGTTGTTCCCACTTCCCACACACTCATGTCCTCGCCCGGTTTCTCCGCACAGCTCGATACCCACTTTGTCAACCCCGCTGTCTGGGACCCCCACCGTTGGGATCCAGACCAAAACAACTACGACGAAGAGCGCGACGACGCCGACCAGGAGAAGATTGACTATGGCTGGGGTGTCGTGTCCAAGGGAACCAACTCACCATATCTTCCCTTTGGCGCTGGACGGCATCGTTGTATTGGGGAGCAATTCGCCTACCTGCAACTACAGACTATTCTAGTAGCATTTGTGAGAGAGTTCAAGTTCAGGAACGTTGGTGGTAGCAAAGACATTGTTAGCACCGACTACACCAGTCTCTTCTCCCGCCCACTAGCACCTGGCATAGTTGAGTGGGAGAGGCGGCAGAACCTATAATGGTAGTTCTTCTTCTTCGTCTAGGCTACGTTAGGGATATGTTTTATAATGTAGAGTTATTCGGCATGACCATCTTATATTCGCATTGGTACAGCGGGCTACGCCGGGGTTATCTTCAATGCTCCGCTATACGCATTGGACCTTTGAGTTTACTAATACTAATTGCGTCCTTTTTGTTCCGCATGGAACGTGAGCGATATATATAATGAAAGCAATTATAAAATGCGTCTCAATCTGG